TTTACAAGTAAAACTTCATTTTTCTTTTCTAAAATTTTAATATTAAATAAAAAATCAAATGGACTTAATAGTCATTGGTGTGTAGTAAATTGTGACAATTCTGTTTTTATGATAATATCTTTTATTTAATTTATATTGATCAATGACAATAAAATTTAACGTTTTGTGAGAATTACCCATTTATGGTTAACAACAAGCATCGCATCGTTTTGGTGTTGTCGAATTGCTCAAAGAAAGATGCGGATTACATTCGCAAACTAAATTTTTTTACCACTATGCATTTTTAAAATCGGGGTGCGGATTAGATTCGAGTGCGGATAAGATTCGAGAAAATACGGTATTTAGCATCCTTAATTTTCTATCTTCCATTCTTTAATGTATTTCGTTTTATCTAAAATCCCTTTAAATGTGTCCAATCCATTTCTTTCTTGTGTTATAAATTATATTTTGGATACATAAAAATAAAAAATATGTAACGGTGATAATATGATGTTAAGTTTTTAATAGGATTATATTAAATTAATTAATTAATTTTAAAAGGAAATTTAAAAGGAATTAAAAATTAGGATGAATTTTGAAAAATCATTTTATTTTTCACATTATTCTTATATGGCAGTGCACAGAGCATATACAATTTTTTTTGTAGTACAACGTGACATACACCTATTTAATAATAATAATAAATATTTGTATAATAAATTTTTTTTAATTTTTTCATTTTATTTAACTTTTATATTTGTTTATTTTTTTTTCATTTAATTTAAATTTCCTCCAAGTACATCATTAAAACGTTTTTATAGTCTTGTTTATTTGAGCGTCTGTTTATTATTATTGTTTATTTATAATTTACAAATCTAGCTAGTATTATCACCGTTAATTTCCCTATCTACATCCTTTCGTACTTTTTTTTTCATTTTTAATTTAATCATTATTTTATTTAAATCGCGTTTTAAATCTGTCTCGTTATATATTCTCAAATTATACAAACGATCTACTTAATCTCATTTAATAATTCATTTTATAAAACCGCCTCTTTATAAATATCGTCTGTTTTATTTATTAAATATAACGTTTTACTTGTTAAATCTCTCCAAGGGGGGCAAACTGGTTAAAGCATGACATATGTATCTATTACATTTTTTTTTTGTTTTTTGGACACTTCTTTTCATCATAGAAGACAACAACAGTTACTATACACATTTACCATCGACTCTAAATATACTTTTTTTTTAATTCTTACTTTATTCTGTTATACAGACACTTACGAAGCGTTCTAACCAACTTTTAACCATCTATCAATCGAATATTCCAACGCAGCTAACCATCTTTGAAATAGATTTCAATAAAAAGTTCAAATTTATTGTACTTTTGACTCACCTTTTACGATCCATATCAGATTCCGTATGGAAATAATAATGTTTTTGCGTCGCCTCAGCAGGAATCATCTCAAAAGCGTGCTTTTTACTCCCACTGGCGCTTTGTTGTACCTTATATCCATGCAAACAAGCTACCCCTAATAATTAAAACGATTATAGACTTACAAACAATAAAGGATTAACCAAAAATTACCGAAAGCACTCTTTGAATTCGCATCTTGATAAAAATACAAACAAGCATCCTTCAACACGCAATATCTCCGACTCCAAGACTTCCACTGCGTGCCCAATTTCACCAAATACCCAAAACAATCCGGTTTGGGAATCGAATTCGGAGGCAACGTTAAATTCCTTCGAGCCTGCTCCAACCAAGTATCACAAATCACACTTTCCTCGGCTGATTGAGACAATAATTCGCTCCATCTTCGTGCCGATTGTTCCGTATCAGCCGCTAAATGCAACGTTGGTGCTCCCGGGCGTGATATGCTTAATCTATAAGGTTTCATTTCATCCTCCACCGGTTTTATTTCGTAGTTTTGGAGCATAATTGCCCCAACAGGTTGTTTATCCTTAAAAACAATTATTAATCATACTTAATGATAATAATATAAATGACTTACAACGTCGGTTTTATAAAAATAAAGACAATTATCTTTTTTTAAAGCAAAAAATCTTCTTATCCACTTATTAGTGGGAATTCCGCTGGCGAATCCGCCCAATTTCCATAAGTAACCGCTGTAAATGGAAGTTCCGTGCGAATCTTGCGCGGTCGGGCTTAAAACTCCGCATGTTCTGGCTACCTAAAGAAATAATATTAAATTATTTTAAACTTTATGTGATGAAATAATTACCTCTAAAGTTAACGTATCGCTTCCGGCGTGGGCTATTTTAACGACTTCCGAGTGACTTTTATCCAAAACGCTTATTCCATTTACGGATAGAACGATATCTCCTACTTCTAATCCGGAACTTTCAGCCGGCGTATCTAATTCTATTGCTGAAACCACTACCGGTTTTGAACCGTGAATTCTAAAACCAAATTCTCCAGATTGGCGACGAACAATCACTGTTTTATCACTTTCTGAAATCAATACAAAAATAATTAAATAATAATTAATAATTCACTTGATCTCAGCAGAAAATTTCATACAAAAGCGATTTTCGAAGATTTTCTCAATAAAAAATATATAAAAATATATATACAAAAATTTTGTTGAGGTTATGTTCTTAATTATTGATCAAATGAAAAATTTTTATTAACAATATTTGTTTAGAATTACTTCAGGAACAGTGTTTGTTAATACAATTTTTTTGCTAACTTGAAATTTTAATTTCCCTCTGAATAGTATGCTACAAAAATTAATATTTTTGAGGTTATATCCTTATTGTTGATTTAATCAAA